CGCGGGAGGCTGCGGGAGGCGCCGCGTCCGCTCCGGCCGCTGCTGACAGCCTCGGTTTCCCGCGGGCCCACGCCCCTCTCCCGCCTCTTCCCGGTCCCGCCGACCTGCTCTTTCTTCCTACCTCTCCCCGTCACCTCGCAGCCCTCGTTCTCCCGGACAGGACAGGCTCTCCGTTCTTCTCTCCTCCCACTACCCCCTCCCCCTATTGGTTTCGGGGCCTCCCCTCGACCCTGGAAATGCAATCCCCCCCTCACCGTGAGCCATGCATCTAGGGCTGCCACTTCTTCAGTCCCCAAACCATTCCAAGGTTCCAGCAGAAAACTGGGAAAAGAGACTCGCGGAAGGTGGACATGGTCCTGGGAAACTGTTGTGTCTGAGAAGCGTTTTGGCAGACTCTTGAGCCTTGGCAGGGAGTCCTCAACCCCCAACCTTCCCCTCTCCAAGGCTCGCCCACCCTCGAGGATTTAGCCAGGGAGTGAAGGGGCAGGGCTGGGGGACTTTGCCCAGAATGTTCTGTGCTCTGGGGTGGGTGGTGCTGGAGATTTGGGTCTGAAATGAAGGCTGGTTAATCCAACAGTGTTTTAATGTGCCCAGGGCCCTGTGGTAATAGTAGCTTTACTCGTAGTATCCCTTTATGGTGGGGGCAGCGGAGACTGCTGGAGGAGCCCGACGCCTGCAGCGGTTGGTGACTGCCTCTTTCCTTTATTTCCGAAATGAAATCAGGGGAGAGTGGAAGCTTTGATGGCAACATTGGCTCTGGAGCTCTCTGTTGCTATTTGGAAAGCTTTAAATGGTTTTAACAAATCTCTTTCCCAGACGAGAAGATTTGGAGACTTTTGCTCAGCAAACCATTGAGGAATACAGGCTAGTTCTGGGGTGTGACTGCTTGACTGAAGAGGCCCCAGGGAAAGTGCAGGGACTAAGTCCAGGTCAACTTGGGGGCAGTCAATCCCTTGCCAGCCAGCTCAGAGGTTCTGGGGTGTGACTCCAAGATCCAGGGAAACAGCTCTACCTGGGCGGTGGCAGTGGTGATGTGTGCCAACCTTTCTCTGGAAATACTTTGTCAATAAAAAGGAGTGACCTAATTGCTTAAAAATTGGGTTTCCCTGAGTAGTTAGCCTAAGTGCTGTAGGCTATTCTTACCGGGTCCATAAGGAAGAGGCAATTTTAGTACTGAGAACAAAGCAGTCCTTGCCCTGAACCTATCTGGAGTCCTACCACATAGCACTACCATAAATCAAGATCACCTTGAAAGGTGACAGCCTTGAATGGCAGCGGAAGACATTTCACGTTTTTAATCCCATTTCCCACTGATAAACGAACTTGTTCCCCAGTTTTGGACTACACAGTCAAGCACATGCCCTGCAGTTCGTCACTTGTTTATTTGTCATTTGTTTGTTGTAACTTATCATCTATAAGTCTTTAAGTACATACATGGAAAGTGGTTTCATGATTTTAAAAATACATATTATCCCTTAGCAGACAATATGAAATCAGATGACATCATATGGCACTAAAATACTTTAAAATATTGGGTTTAATTTTCTCACATCTGGTTAAAATAAAACTTTTTTTCCTAGTGTAAACTTGGAGAAAACACATCTTGCTTCTATCTGGTAGATAGAGTGGAACTGGTGTTACCTCCGACAGGGTAGTATGTACAGTACATATTTTCCCATCCTTAAATATGCTGACATCCCATTTCTTGAAAAAATCAGATTTTAACTTATTAAAGTAGTAATTTGTTGAAGACATAAATAGGTATCCCATTCCAATTGTCCTAAACCTCCTACAGTTCTAACACTGAGCCAAGCATATACAGAATTCAGCAAAAAGAGACCTGATTTTATGTACTGAAAATGGTTTGCCCAGGGAGCTTTTCAGTCTTTGCATGGCCAGAGCAACAGCGTGCCTTAGTGTAAGACAGCAATCTTCATGAAGTTGTTTCGGTTAATCCCCCCCTCCTGTTTTTTTATAGTTCTTTTGTTACTTTTTTTCTGTTCCCAGCATGTTTTTGATTACATACTCACCATTGTTTCCATGTGATTCTTTTTGCACTGTGATTTAAATCTATGCTTGTATACACTTTCCCACATAGACTGTAAGTTTGCTTTTGTTTGGACTGTTTGTTGGTTTGCTTCTCCTATACAAACCCTTGCCAAATCCAAACCACAAATTGATATACCAAAGTGTGGAAGTAATGAAGTAGTTCAGTTCAAACAGAGCTGCCAGATTTTAGATTGGATGGTAAGAATGTTAGCTTCCTCAGCATAATGTAGACTTTTTTTTTTTAACCAAGCTAACCTACTGCTTCTGCCTAGTGTTCTCAGTTGCTTATTATTGATAATCAGTCTCTGATGCTCAGTTTTCTAATCAAGCAGCTAATTCCGTCTGCTTTATAGTTCCAATGTGGTGACTTAGCCAGCCATAGCCGTTGAACTATTGACCCCTTTAACAGCATAGGCTTGTTTTCATTGAGAGCACTGAGTGTATTTCTGTTTCTTGTACATTTCTTTTTTTTTTTTTTTTTTTTAGTCTTTTTGAGACAGGGTCCCCTGTAGCCCCAGCTGTCCTGAAACTCACTAGGTAGACCAGGCTGGCCTTGAACTCACAGAGATCTGCCTGCCTCTGCTTCCCAAATGCTGGAATTAAAGGCATGCACCACCATGCCCGGCTCTTGTCCATTTCTTATACCCTACTATTCAATTGTCAGTTCCCATCACAATGACAGGAGTTACTACTTGGATCCTCAACACTGAGTATATTTTTATGCTCAGAGTTAGATACTGAATAATTAGTGCAGAAGTATATTTCACTGTATATCATCTGCCAAAGAGCTGCCATGTAGCTGTCCATTCAGTTATTACAATTAAACATCTACCTTCTCTATCCTTTTGCCCATTTCCATAACATATCTTTATTATGCTATAAAAATTGGATACAACTACCATAATGCTGCTGGTGAGCAAACAGAAAAGTATATTTTTAAGTGCAGATGTTGTTAATAAAATATCCAGCTTTGTAGTAAAGGCTCCAATATTTAATTATTATTTTGAGTGAGTCTGACTCATTGAAGAGAGCTCTAGTTGAGAGTCTCTCTGATCTTTACTTGGGGACTATAATTTGATTGAGTCAGGCTACTTTCTTATTCTGAAGCCAGGTTTGCTTCATTTGCTTGGTTCTCAACATGATTGTTAGTTATTTACATCAGGAATCAGATGATACATTTTATGCAAATGTGATTGACTCAATCAAGATAGTTTCGGTCATGCTGTGGTAATGAACAGCCATACAAACCATCCCCCCAAGCTTCCATAGATTAATAAAAATGCTTCACTTGTTCTCATACTGCAGTCTCAGATCCGTTGCATCTTTTTTTCACAATCAAATCAAATGGAGCAATACGTGCAGAATGTGAGAAAGTTCTCTGAGTATATTACATAAAAGCCACAGAACTTATGAAAATTGATTCTGAAGAAAAACTTATTCTATAGTCATGTTCATTTCTGAAGCAGCCATTGAACTAAGAATAGGGAAATATGATTTGTCAAAGAGTTCTTAGAAACACAATTCTTGAGCATTTTTTACTTTCTCAGAGGAAGGAATGATTAAACAGAAATGGTGTTATCCAGCTTTGTGCCAAGTTGTAGAGTGTGCTCATATTTTCTTCCCACCTCCTTTTCCACAGACAAACTTCCCCTGTTTTTTTACTTTTTAACACCAATGTGTCTTTGTGCATCTGAGCTTCATGTGACTAGGGATTTGACATTCATCACCTGACCTGTTTCTAAGGTCATTTCTTTTTTCTTTTTGGGAGGGCGCATCATTTATTTATCAGTCGCTTCTTTTTTCGTATTTCTTAATTTCAAGTTTCAGCTATTTGCCTTATCCTAACACCTTGAATAAAATTAAACTAACTGGATGTCTTAGTTTTTTGTTTGTTGTTTGTTTTTTTCCATTGCTGTGACAAAATTCCCTGACAAAAGCAACTTAGAGGAGCAAAGGCTTTTTTTTTTTTTTTTTTTTTTTTTTTTTTTAGTTCAAGGGCACAGTCCATCATGCCAGGGAAGTCAAGGTAGTGGGAGCATGAAGCAACTGGTCAGGGCATCCATAATCAGGAAGCAGAGAGTGATGAATAAATGTGCTCACCTAGCTTTCTCGTGTGCGTGCGTGTGTGTGTGTGTGTGTGTGTGTATTGTATATGCATGTGTGTGGAGGGAGGATACATGCCCATGCATTCCTTTGCAAAGGCCAGAGAAGTACACTGAATGTCTTTCTTGTCATACTCCACCTTATTTTGTGAGACAGGGTCTCTCACTAAACCTGTGCTTGTGCTTTTGGCTAGGCTGTCTGACCAGGGAGCTCCCAGGATCTGCCTATCTCTACTCTCCAACACTGGGGTTACAGATATGTGTGGCCATGTCCATTTTAACATGGGTGTTGGGGATTTAAGCTCAGTCCTTTTTGCTTTGAGATCAAATGTTCTTACTAGCTCCATCTCATCTCCCCAGCCTCTTTTCTCCTTTTCTTTTTTTAAAATTTATTTTTATTTTTATTTTATGTGTATGAGTGTATTGCCTGCTCATATGTAACTACACCCATGTCATGCAATACCCGTGGAGGTCAGAAGAGGGTGTTGAATTCCCTGGAACCGGAGTTGAGGATGGTTGTTAGCATCATGTGGGTGCTGGGAATCGAACCCAGGTGCTCTGCAAGAGCAGCTGGTGCCCTTAACCACTGAGCCATCTCTCCAGCACCACACC